GGGGGGGCGGGGGGGGAGGGGAGCGAGCAGACCGAGGGGCTGTTGATGTGTCCGCGGGGCTCTGCGTGTCCCTTCCCCCGGGACGAAACGAAGGTTCTCCCCCGTTCCATTCAAAGAGGGGCACCTCCGCGTCTGTTGCCGGGGCAACCTGCCCATCAGCTTCTCTTTGGTTCTTTGCGTGTCGCCCCCCCAGCGCCACCTTTTTGCCTTCTCCCCCCCAGCTGTCCCTGTGTTTGTGCGCCCCTCCCCTCCTCCTTACCTCCTTGTGCGCTGCGGTCCCCCGTTCACACGCACACACACACACATGCACACGCCCTCTCTCCCCCTCCACCACCTTCATGTCTTGCCTCGCTCTTTTTTGTCTTGCCCCCCCCCATTGCCTCAGCATTCGCGCTTTGGTGTTGCCCCCTCTGCTCCCCCGCCTGCTCCCCTCCTCCCTCCTCCTTCCCCCTCGATGCATTCCTGCTCGGTTTCTCCTCCTCTCTCTCTCTCTCCCCCCTCTCCCGCCCGCCCGCCCGTCGCTCTTGCACCTCCCCCTCCCCCTCCCGGTCCCGCTCCCTTCCGCCCTCACTGACACCCTGCCGTGTTCTTCCTCTTGCTCCCTGCCTCCAGCCCTCAAAATGGGTCTCGCCTTTTCTCGCCTCTTTTCTGGCCTCTTCGGCCGGAAGGAAATGCGCATCCTGATGGTCGGTCTCGATGCTGCCGGTAAGACCACCATTCTCTACAAGCTCAAGCTCGGTGAGATTGTCACCACCATTCCCACCATTGGTTCGTTTCCTCCTTCCCACCCCCCCCTTGTGCTTCATGCGGCCTTCTCTTGGCCCCGTAACCTGGGCCCGTCCATTCCCATCGCCGGCTTGCTGACTCCCCCTCCCCTCCCTCCTCCTCCCCCCCCACCACCACGTCCAGGTTTCAACGTCGAGACCGTCGAGTACAAGAACATCAGCTTCACCGTGTGGGATGTCGGTGGTCAGGACAAGATCCGCCCCCTCTGGCGCCACTACTACCAGAACACCCAGGGTATCATCTTCGTCGTGGACTCCAACGATCGCGAGCGTATCGCCGAGGCCCGTGACGAGCTTGCCCGCATGCTGAACGAGGACGAGCTCCGCAACGCCCTGCTCCTGGTCTTCGCCAACAAGCAGGATATGCCCAACGCCATGGTCGTCCAGGAGGTCACCGAGCGGCTCGGTCTCTCCAGCCTGCGCAACCGCGCCTGGTACATTCAGGCCACCTGCGCCACCACCGGTGACGGTCTCTACGAGGGTCTCGAGTGGCTCTCCAACAGCATCGGCAAGAAGTGCGTTCTCTCTCTCTCTCTCTCCCCCCTCCCCCCTCTGCTGCCGGTGATATCCCCTCCTCTCCCCGCTCCCTGGCGCTGCCTTCTGCCGGTCCCGCGCGCTTTGTCCATGTTTTCGCTCCTGCTCGCTCGCGTGCCTTCTCCCTGTTCCTAACGACCGACTCTCTCCCCGCTTGAACTCCCTTCCTTCCCCCCGGCCTGCGGTGCTTTTTTGTGCTACTGCTCCCTCTCTCTCCCTCTTCTTTGTTCCCCCTTTCTCCCCCCCCCCCTGCCCCAATCGCGCGACAGTGCTTCTTAAAGTAACTCGCCTGCTTTGCCGTGCGCTGTACAGCGTTCCTCTCAGACCGCTGTGGTTCGCACTCCGGACGTCAATAGACCACAGCTATTTTCCCTCTTCCCCTCCTTTTCCTCTGCTGTCGCGCGTTGTCGTCGTCGGCAGTCGGCGGCGCCCCGCCCGGGCGCGCCACACCCCCTCCTCCGCCCTCCCTTCCGCGCCGGACTCACCCTCCCCCGATGTGCCCCCCCCCCGCTCTCTCCGCCCATTGCGCGCAGTGTACATGTCGCTCGCGCCATTTTGACATGCACACACACGCGCGCGCACGCATGTGCAAAGGCGCGTAAAGCATCCGCGCTGTCATGTCCATGTGTGTGTGTGTGTGTGTGTGTCTTGGTCTGTGTCCATGACGATACGGCGCACAGAGGCAAGGCAGAGCGAGGGCACGCGATCTGCTGCCAGCATCCGGGGAGACCATGATGCGCCGCGCTTTTTATCGGGATCTGCTGGGCAAAAGAGGGCAATGTGTTTGTGCTCGGGCTTTGCCACGTCTGTCGCCGGCCTTTCTGCTTGGACTCCTTCTCCTCCTCCTCCTCGTCCACAGCGCAGGCCAATGCGCACAGCGCGCTTTTCCTCCTGTTCTCCTCGCTTTCTCTCTCCCTCCACCGGGGACTCATCCTCCCTTTTGTTCCCCCGCGCCCCTCCCTTCCCCTGTTCCCTTGTTCCGGAGGTGGGTTGCTACTTTGGGCGATCGCGCCGGGCCGCGAATCCTGCTTCTTCCCCCCCCCCCCACCCCCC